CAAACATCTCATTTTCTTTCAAATTTCCACAAGAAATTAACAGTGAATACCATACATTGCATAGAATGTTATTTAAGGAGGCAAGGTTTCTGCCAATTGCTATGCCCCACTTGCATATAAACGGGTCCATTCCTTTGCTGCAGGATTATATGAGAGAGCAACAACCAATAATTAGGATGCAGGTTTAAATGGTGTATAGACGAACCAAAGCTTTTAGAACAACAAAACAAAGAAAACCTAGAATTTTTTACCTGTCTCAACAGCCTCAGCCTCATTTGTTTTCCAGTGCTTAGCAATGTTCTCAGATAGTGGATCATCAGGATTGGGAGCACTTAGCAGGGCTTGAATGCTGTGAAGGGAAGTGCCAACATTTATGTCAGTATAGGTTTAGCAACATTATTATTTCCATATAATATCATAGAGGGTCTCCTTTTTCTACTAAATTATTTGACAGGAGGCACCACCATATATAAATTGGTTAATCTTGCACTGAACATAATATTGCTTGCAGTACTGAAACATTTTTTCCCTTAGAAATTGCCTAAAACATTAGTGGAGTTACAACCTAAAATAGGCAGGGCTCAAAAAAGAATATTCTACTTGAGTGTATCAGAAGATTTTTGTAATAGTATTGATTTACTGGTGCACAAACCTTAAAAGTACAGTTCGTATCTGGAGAGCTGGACTCCACTTGTCTTTGAGGATATCCAGGCATATCCTTCCAAGCTGCATGAAAATGAAAAGATTATCGTAGAAGGCGATGGATGTATCTCTTGAACTACATATATAATAATAACTGAGAAAAAAGGACGGGAGGATGGGTAGATAAGCAAAGCCTACCTTATCAATGTTAGGATGGTATATCTTTGTAAGAAATCGAACCTGTCACAAGGAGATTACCAGGAGGTAAAACATTTAGAAGGCACGCCAAGGAAGACAAATCCACAGATGAATTGGTGAATCTAAACAATGGGGGCTCCAATCCCAAAGAATAGGCTATAAATAGACCCGACAGGGACTGTTTAACAGGAAAAATGAAGGCCACTACCATTAACTACAGCATCAAATTATTTTGAGAAGGCTACCTATCTTATTAACCTAATTGAAGGCAGCAATCACTTATCAAATAATTTTGAGAAAGCTACCTATGTCATTGAGCCTCTTTCTTTTGCAGCTGATACACAATTGATTTCTAGAAAACTATAATTGAATTTCTGAAACACCTGATGTTTGCAGTGAACAAAATTGTGACACCCGAATAACAAGCTTTTAACTGATAGAAATTTGAAATGAATATTTTCATAATACATTTCCCACTGCATCAGGTCCTACAAAACATTCAGTTACAGAAACCCAGCAGGCTTATCTAGATATTCTTATATGTTTTTCAGCTTTATTGTATCCAGAATAATATGAAAGAAATTTAAGCATAGGGACATCATTAACACGCTAATATATAAGAAAACACCAGGATACTTTAAAGGCTTACAACCCACAAGAAAATGCATTTTTTAACATATAACCATCCAACGAGCTACTGTCAAGATTGGATTCACCCCCAAAAGACATCCAATAACATAAGAATGTACTCTCCACAACTATTATGATAAAATATGTAGAAATCATGGTAAAACAAACCCTAACAGACCAAAGTATAGCTCAATTTATGATCCAGCAACAAATGCATCAGAGATTAGTGAAAATAAGTTACAGAGATGATAAAAACCCTTGATAGTTGAATGCTCCAAAAAAATTAAAACAGATTCTTTACAATGGTTATACGATAATTCTTAAACATATTGATGTAATTTACCCATTCTTTTTAACATGAAACTCTATTACATTGCATGCCAAAGAATTGAGTCATTGACAACCAATATATAACAGGAAATACAAGCTTCTTACAAATGTACAAAATTTTAGTACCTTGGGGGCGGCCATAGGATATTCTTCAGGCAAAAATAGCTCCAGCTTGAAAACTCCTCCTAGAAAAATATAGCAAAACATAAAAATAGTTACACAAAGAAACAATGAATAGGGAAAAACAAAAATGAGAAGCTACCTTCACGTGCATACTAATACCATTTACAACTGAAAAGTGAAAATTACGTTAATTGATCTAAATTATAAAGAAAAAATGAGAAAGGTTTCAAGAAAGAAAGCTTCCATTTAAAATCTTCAACAAAACAAAGAATATATCCAGGTGATAAATCAACTTAGTACCAGTCTCCAACTTTCCATAAGCGCTTATAAAGATAAAGTAGCTCACCCTCACTCACATTAGCCACTGAAGAACTGGTGGGCACAGGGGAGAATAACTCCTCATATAGTTATATCCTAGAGATGAATGAACTAATTGCACTTCAATTTCAGTGATGGGGAACGAATATGATTAAGAAAACCATAAAATATAATGTAATGTGCAATGCAAAATGCTAGTAGTTCCACCAAACAGTGAAGAAGCTTCCAGCTTGTCTAAATAACACAAACAAAATGGGAAAAATAAAAATGCAAAATTTTCATTTTAACTTTGTTACAGTTACTAGTAGAGGAGAAAAAGTAGCAAAACGATAAATGAAAATGAAATTGACATCTATAGCTGAAAAAATCAGAATTGATGATCTTTTTCTGATATTCACCATCCAATTCCAAAAAAGTAATACAATGAACAATCAAGCTTCCAAATTTATGGTATACGATAAAACCATATACAACTACAAAGAAAAAAACAGCCCATTATCACTAAATCAGATGCCAAAATTACCTTCATAAGGTGACTGTGTTGGACCAAGGATCATCACATTGAAATACCGCATATTATCCTCCGACGGTGAAGCACTGATTCCAGGTGCTGTATTCACAGATCGCCTCCCCATAATTAAAATAAAAATCCAATCCAAGAAAGCAAAAAGGAAAACACGAATTCTGAGCTAAAAACACTTGTATCTTCACAACCAGAATTCCGAAATTAATTTCACATTAAAGAAAGGGAAACTCAGAAGATCAAATGGGAAACAGAGTACAAATCGAGTACTCACCGGGTTCACTGAGGAGACGCTGAGTTTCCTGCAAATCAAAGAGAAAAGCAAAATCAGACACCACGATCTCGAAACGCTGAGAATTTCCGATGAATTGAACACTAAAAACAAAAGTATTGAAAACAAACACGAAGAAGGCAAGAAAGACTAGGAAAGCGAGTAAAATTCAGGGAGAAAGTGAAATTTTCTTCAAATTTTCTCAAGAAACAAACAGAGAAAGTGAGATCGGAAATCATCAACGGAGAGATCGAGAAGGAGAAACCTTGATAATTCTTCGAGGGAGATTACTGTTAGCCATCTCCAAGGTCGATTGCGAACAACGCGAGTTAGGGTTTTTGAGGAGAGAGAGATCTGGGCAGAGAGAATAACAAAGGCTTTTTCAGTTTTTCCTCTCAACGAGCCTTTTCCCGGAACGCAATGATTTTGACCAAACTCTAAACCCTTTTTTGTATTTTTATTATCCTTTTGTTATAATAAATCTTTTCATTTTGGAAGCGAAAAAGTGTTTTCCATTGTTACACCAAACTATTATTTTTACTCCTTCAGCTTTACTGTTTTCATATAAGTTTTTTTTCTTAATTTTCTTTGTACCTTTCTTTTTTCTCTCTCAACTTAAAAAAATAAATTAATCATTAAATTAATTTAAATATGTATTTTTTAAATTTCTAAATTTATAATATAGATTCAATTTTAATATTAATTTATATAAAAAAAACAATTTTTTATATCCTTTAATTCATTTTATTTTCATATTATATGATTTGAATTTAAAATTTATTATTTTTACATAAAGCATATTACTATTAAAATATTTAGATAGTTGATTAAAGATTTTAAACCTAATTTTGAAAAATTTAGTAATATTATATTAAAATAAAATATATTTAATAAATTAAATAAGTTTTCAACTTTGATTATATGACAAGTTTACAAGGCTCTTTGATAGAGCTCAAAATCAAGTTTGTTTTGAAGTAAATTTTTTCTTATTAATTTAAAATTTTTTTAGAAGTAGACACAAAAATTGGCTTTTAATGTGGCCTTAACCTTGCTTATGTGAGTTAGGGCTTGGCCCCTCTATATATCAGGTGAGGTTGTTACCACACTTTTAATAATTAAAGTTGTATTTTTTAGTTTAATTAATTATTATATTTCTTTAGTTTATTAAGAAATGAAAAATTACCACACTTTCAATAGTTAAGATTGTATTTTTTTAGTTTAATTAATTATTATATTCTTTTAATTTATTAAAAAATGAAAAATTTTTAATTTTAATAAAAAGTATAATATAAAGATATAATAGCCAACTAAAATAAAAAAGTATGATTTTATTAATTGAGAGTATAACAATAATATCACCCTCTATATTTGTTTTCACTTTAAATAATGATTTTTGAGACCAAATTTTAGAATGAAATTATTTTAACAGTTAATTATGTATGTCTATAATTAAGCTCACACTATTGTCAATGAGGACCATAAATTCATCCTAAAATTTAATACCTAATTGGCTTTGCTTTAAAACAAATTTTTTTTCTTTTTTTCTTTTTTTAACAGAAGCTAAAGCTATAGAAATGCATTTATAAAAATAAAAGATGAAACT